TGTTAGGGACAAGATTTTAGGTTCGGCTTCACGACTTTTATCGTATGGGGGCCGTATTACTTTGCTGAGGCCAGTGTTTTCCTCCATGTCATTACACTTTCTTCAGATCATGCAGCCCCCTAAGGCTATCATGAAGAAACTTGGGAGTATCTTTGCGCGATTCCTATGGGATTCCAAAAAACAAGCACGACGTTAACATTGGCGAAGCTGGAATGAGATTTGCATACCTACTGATGAGGGTGGTCTAGGTTTAGGAGATTATAGGATATGGACACCTTCTCCATAAAGCTCTGGTGGTTGTTCCGTTCTCAGATATCTCTTTGGACCTAGTTCTTATGGGACAAGTATTGTATGGGGACATATCATTTATTCGCACTAGTTTCCTACTCAGCTTTTCCTATCTGGAAGAGGCTGAAATTAGTTGGACCCCGAATAGAGGCACACATTGTATGGCACCTTGGAGCAGGTCGAATTTTCTTTTGGCATGATTGCTGGATCGGTGAGACCACATTGGCATCCCTATTCCCACACAGATAGCATACATTTACGAGGGTGCAGGATTTCTATGACTATAGTAGGTGGGATATACAGGTTCTCCCTCCTCTTATGGCGGAGTAGATATGGGCTATACCTTTATGTGCAAATGCCCCGGATCGAATTTTTTGGCGAAATACATCGGATGGTAGCTTCATTACAAAGTCAACATGGCAACTTGTACGTTCGGGATGCCAGTATCAAGATTCGTACCGATTACTATGGAGCTCCATTTTTCCCGTCACTGTCTCATTTTTCTGCTGGAGACTATGGCGGGGCCTCATTCTTGTAGATATGGTTATTAAGGAAAGGATTGGATACCAGTTAGCTTCTCGCTGCCAGTGTTGTTTAGAGACTGAGATTATCAGTCATATTTTCATTGGTAGTAGCATCTCCAATCAGGTATAGCGGCATTTTGAGGATATTTTTCAGATACCTATGAGTTTAGGAGAGGGTTAGACAGAGATTCCAGAGATTGAGGTATTCTGGACAATATGTTCATTATGGACACATTCACATTATCATTCTTCTTCTGATATTTTGGTATCTAAGGACCGTAAGAAATGATGCGAAGCATAGGGGGTTCGCATGGTAGCCAGTCGTATCATTTGGAGGGTCTATCGTATGATGCTCTTTTTTTCATATGGGAGGACTGTTTCGAGCGATGCATTGGCGAGGAGATTTGACACTTGCACCCATATTTGGTATTTTTATGGTCCCCCTTCCCCATTTCTCCCTATTCTAGTTTGGTAGTGCACTCCATCAATCGGATCTGTCAAATCAATATTGATGGATGCGCCAAGGATGGTTATGCGAGTGGGAGAGGCATCATCAGAGATTACGCAGGACACTGTATCAAGGCTTTCTCAGCTTCGTATGGACCATGTATGATATTAGAGGTAGAGCACCGGGCTATTCTTGATGGGACTTTACTAGCTCAAAGACTGGGTTATTCAACTATTTGGGTTGAGTCAGATTATACAAGGGCTATTCACTGCATGACTAGAGAAGGAGGACCATGGGCTATTCAAGACATACTTAGACGTATCACAGATATCATATCCTTTGACAGAGATACAGTCTCCCACATTTACAGATAAGGAAATCAGGTTGTAGATGCTCTTGTTGTTGAGGGTTGGGATTATCGATGATATCAGATATATGGACCACTTGACCTACCATGACATATTAGGGCACTAGTACAAGTTGACAGACATGGATTGCCTAGTATCAGAGTTTGAATTTCATTTTAACTTTCAATACATATTTTTTTGTATTTTTTTACATTTGTTCTTATTGTAAAGGAAGTAGTACTTCTTTGTTTACTGCTTTATTATTCATCATTTACTTTCATTGTAAGGGAAGTAGTATTTTCTCATTTACTATTCTCATTATTTTCATATAACCACGGTATTCTTCCACCACAAGTGATGGCATATTAATAAATTCTAGGAGGTACCACCTTCTTTTAACTAAAAAAAAAGATTTCCTTGATTGCAGTATGGTTTCTCACAGATGGTGTCAATCTGTTGACCTCACTTTTTGTAGAGATGGCATGGCCGACATATCATAACTCCTATAGCATCCACGTGAGGTTTAATCTTGCACAATCAGACAAATTGTTAGAACGTGCATCCAATCTCCAGTGGTGCAGAAGGTGGTCGTGAGCATTCCGATGGTCAAATCAGTTTTAAGTAAAATATTGAATGGAGCATGGAATGCTCTTAATACACATTCCACTATAAGTAAAAGAGGTTCGGAACTGGGGACAATATAGGACAAATAATATATTTGAGAGAACAGTAGTTACAAGAGTTTGAACTTCCATTACCTTTAAATGGGACTAACTATGAGCTTTTATAGTAGGAGATGACAAATATGAACCGTTGGATGAAGATGCACGTGGCTTCATCCATGCGACTGGATTCTCTTATCATAAGTGTCAATCAATCATTTTTAAGCCATATTACGTTTGAGTGTTGCGACGGTTATATAGTCCTAGCCGACTATATAAGACTATATTCTAGACTTGTTAGTTGAGTGGAGCAGCCTTGCTAGTGAGTTGTGATATCACCCACTTGTTACAGGATCTTGTATAAAAATCTTCTTTAAGATTCCTCTACTAGTACACTCCGGTAACTAAGGTTGGACTGTAGCTAATGGGTTTGACCCAATCGTGTCTGTTCGGCTGCTCATGGGTTAGGCCAAGATTGTCATGTCATCTAGATGACGTGGAGACTAGGCTTGCATTCTTCAGCTATATGTTCACCACATGGCCTAGACTCAAGTCTAACTGGTCGAGATGTAACAATATTCTCATTTTGTAATATTTTTCTCCCTCTATTAATAGCCGACACTTTATCGTACCGAATAATCATGTCAAATAAGAACTCAAAATTCATAATATCGAAGATAAATTTTTAACATTTCTAAAAGCTTTAGCATCATCACATTCATAATGTTCTTAATGTGTTTGTGATAGTGGCTTAAGTTTTAAATCTTTCACATTATCTTGAAAATTTTCATTGCTTTGTAGAAGATGAAAATAATTTCATATATATGCATTATACAATACCAAAAAATCATTTAGTTTTTATACAAAAACTTGTCATATTACAAAGAGCAAAAATGTAAAACTTTTTTTGAGAAATTTTCTTTATTATTTATAATTAGAATATATAATAATTTTTTAGGGCTCTTATCAAATTAGGAATTAGGCGATCGTCTATCAGGTCTATAGTTAGGATCAACACAGTCGACGAGTTGAGTCGATGCAGAAAAAAAATAATATTAAATAAAAATAAAGAAATTTAACAGAATTAAGTCCCCCCCTATTAGACAATCATTATTTCAAAGGGAAATTACAAAAAAATCAGGCATTTAATTTTTCAAATTCAAAATTCAGGTGTGAATTTTATTTATTCAAAAATTAGGTATTGAATTAATACTTAAATATTATACCCACCTACCTAATCCCAAACAAACCCTAAATCATTTTTCTTCTATCCTCATTCCTCTCCTTCTCTTCATATTCTCTCTCTTATTTAATCAAAAATCAGTATTGAATTAATAATTAAATATAATACCCACCTACCTAATCCCAAACAAACCCTAAATCATTTTTCTTCTATCCTCATTCCTCTCCTTCTCTTCATATTCTCTCTCTCTCTCTCAACCCTCACCCTTAGCCGCTATTGCCGATGAAGTGCCCTCCGCTAGAGACACCGCTTGATGTTTCCCCCTCACAGCCGGCGTTGTGAGAGTCGGCAGTGGCTACGCTACTGTGTTTTCCCCTCACTGCTGGCGTTGTGAGAGCCGGCAGAGGTATCGCCGTCGCCGCTGCAACAGTAGGTAAGAGATCCCGTCGCTACAAAGCTACTGTTGAACTATTTTGGGTGATTTTAGGGTTGTTTGGGGATTTGAGATGGTTTCAGATATGGTGGTGCTACAGTGTTGGTGCATGTGGTGTTAGATATGGCGGTGATGGTGGTGCGGCGTTGGTTTCGGTGGTGAGGTGGTAATGGTGTTGGTGGTGCGATGGTAGTGGTGCAAGTTGTTATTGGTGGGTTGCAAAATGGTGGCGGTGGCAGCGGCGGCGGCGATGGCGATGGCGATGGCGATGGCAGTGGTAGTTTTGATGATTTTTGTTGGCAGTATATTGGATCTAGTGTTGGCAGTGTTGTGGTGCTGTCATTGCGTCGTTTTTTGCGGTGGTGCTTTTTGGCAACAATGATGCATTTCTTTGGCGTTGGTGGTGGTGGCGGCATTGGTTACTTTGTAACCAACCATTTTGTTATTTGTGATCTAAAAATTATATAATTTGTGATCGTGAGAGAATCTGTGACTAACTAGTTTGAAATCTGTGACTGTGTGACATATAAATTTTGGAATCTGTGACCGACGGATTAATTGTAACCTACAAATTTTTTCATATGTGACAATTAAAAAACTTGTGACCAACTAATTTGGAAATCTATAACCTGCCAATAAACCGTGAACAATTTGTGACCATTAATTCTATAACTGTGACCTCAATATGTTTAATTAATAAATATATATTTAATTAATTAACTAATACCCGATTTATGAATTTTGAAACTTAAAATCTAAATATTGATTTGTTTCATTCCAAACTCCTGATTTTTGAACTTTTCCCTATTTCAAAACACTTTTATTCTTATACTCCTTTTCAACAACACATTTAAACAATAAAATATCTTGTACGAAAGCTTTAAAAATTTTCTTATTTTTTAACTATATATTTTGTAAAAAAATAATATTCAAAACTCAATTTTCTACTAATGACCCTTGAACATGGGCTAAATAAGAAAAAATAGTACGTTCTGGAAACGTGAAAAATAAAAAATTCCATGAAAAGACAAGATTCCTCTCCTATTTATAGATGCCATTCCTCCAATCCATCTTCACATCCTCTCTCTGTGTGTCTCCTCAGTTAATTTATTAAAATGGAGATAGTGAAAACAGCGATTTCAGTGTTGACTATTATCATTTTTACAGTTTCATGGAAGATTTTGAAGTGGTTATGGCTCGATCCAAGGAAGAAAGAGAGGATTCTTATCATATTTACAGTTTCATGGAAGATTTTGATGTGGGTATGGCTAGATCCAAGGAAGAAAGAGTGGATTCTGAGGCAACAAGGATTCAAAGGGAATCCTTATACTATCAGAAAGCTTTTGTTTGGAGATGAAAAAGAGATTCAAAAGGTTCATGTAGAAGCCTTGTCAAAACCTGTTAATATTCGTGATGAAATTCAAACTGGAAAACGTGCTGCGCCCTTCATCTTTAAAACCTATGAAAAATATGGTGATCTTTCTCTCTCTCTCTTCAATTCAGACAATTACTGGCTGGGGTAGGTATTGCTTCTCTTCTCTATCTAAATATTAATTAATTCATCCATTAATTTTGCAGGTAAAAAATCATTTTTGTGGGCAGGACTGAGACCCAAGGTGTTTATAATGGAACCTGATCTGATGAAAAGTATCTTTTTTAACCACAGTGCCTTCCAAAAGAATTTTAAGGTTACCAATAGTGTTGTGCAAGAACTTATCACTGGGATTATTCGCTTTGAAGGAGAGGAATGGTCCAAAAGAAGAACTATTATGAACCCCAAATTTCAATTAGAAAAGTTGAAGGTAATCTAATATTTTATTTCTTATCTTTAGAAAATTATATATAATTAATTAATTAATTAATTTTGTGGGTGTATTTTTGCAGCAAATGATACCACAAGTTTTGAAATGCAGTGAAGATGTTATAATTGAATGGAAGAAGTTGGTATCCAACTCCAAGGACGGGTCCTATACTCTCGACGTTTGTCATGATATTGAAGAATTGATCTCAAGTGTCACTTCTCAATTTCTGTTTGGCATTGATTATGCAAAGGACAAAGAAATCTTCCACCTTATTACACAATTGTCTGAATTGACAAAACAAGCCACTAAGGTTTCTAATTTCCCTGGATCAAAGTAAGTTTTCAAATTATACATTGTGAAAAATTAATTAATTAGTTCCTTTCTTAATAATACTATGAATTATTTGTACTACAGGTACTTGCCAACGGAGACAAATCGAAAGTCCAAAAGCCTCACAAAGGAACTACATCAAAGACTTTATAAATTAATGAGTGAAAGAAAAAAGGCAATAAAGGAAGGCAAAGTTGTGGAGGACAACGTATTTAATATGTTACTGCAATCTGAAATCTCAAATAATCAAGATGAAATGATTGGTCATATGAAGGGATTCGTGTTTAATTCACATGACACCACTGCTTATGTTCTTGTTTGGAATTTGATTTTACTTGGCGTTTATTCAGAATGGCAGGACCGTGCTAGAGAAGAAGTTTTCAGGGTCTTCGGTAATCGTAGACCAGATTATGAAGGGTTAAGTCAACTCAAAGTTGTAAGTACCTAACAGTCATTCAATTTTTCAAATAAGCGAGCGAAAACTTATATTAATATCTTTTCCTATTTTGCAGTTACCTATGTTTATGAATGAGGTATTGAGGTTGTACCCGCCACTTGTTGAGCTCTCTAGACTAGTTGAAGAAGAGATAAAATTAGGAGAATACACATTACCAGCTGATATACAAGTCATTATGCCAACAATTTTAGTTCATCGTGATCCTGAATTCTGGGGCGAAGATGCAAACGAGTTTAAGCCAGAAAGATTTGCTGAAGGAGTGCTAAAAGCAACCAAAGGACAAGCTGTATTTTTCCCCTTTGCCTGGGGACCCCGTATCTGCATTGGGTATAACATGGCATTGTTGCAAGTCAAATTAGTATTGGCAGACCTTTTACGCAATTTCTCCTTTGAGATTTCACCTACTTATGTACACGCTCCACGTGTGGTTTTCACTCAACAGCCTCAATTTGGAGCTCCCATCATTCTGCGCAACCTCAATTGATTTCTCCAATAAAGGGTTTGCGTACCGTATGTTGTTGTTATGCATTTTCAGTCATCGTCTCTACTTTCAATAAATATGAGGTGTGTTGTGTTTTGTCAAATTTTACATTAATTCCTAGTGTAATAGAATGTTTTCTACTTTGGTTTGGAACTAGTGGAGCTCCGTGCAATGCACTACGTGTTGTAATAAATTGCATATCATGAAACAAAATATATTTATAAAACAATAAGATAATGAAATCATTGTCGTAAATTACCCCTGCAATTCTAGTTATTATGACGGTTGTATTCCTATAACCCTAACTTGTTCCTAAAAATATGTGACTTTGGTTCTTTGTAAAATTTATTCATCTTCAGCTCACAAATCTCTAGCCAGTTGAGGTAAAAATCAATCTTTCCTTCAATCAAAGAAAGTCAAGAAATTCTGGCCAATTAAGTTTATAAAGAAATTCTTCTTTTCCGCTTGAAGAAAAATTTGTATTCTCTTAACTTTGAATTGCATAATAAAGCAATGTAGTTATTCTTAACTTTGAATTGCATAATAAAGTAGGTATTCTCTTAACTTTGAATTGCATAATATTTGACTATTCCAATTTATGATTGATAAATATTTACTTGAATGTAATTTTTTTGTTCAATATTTACCTAAAAAGGATCGTGTACTTAATTTTTAATTGTCTAATTGTAAAAATAAGTAATTATAGTAGGCGTAGACATGGTGCGGTTTGATTTGGGGGTATTCAATAAATGAAACGTCGACTAAAAATTTAATTATGGACCAATTTAGTACCCAAACTAAATTTGTCAATATTTACGATACGATAATACTCTATGACATGTTCAATCTTAATTATTACAATACCATAACATAATCCAATTTAAAAATATATAAATAAAAACTAGCCTCTGTTTGAACCGCATTTTCATTCTCATTATTCTACTCATTTTCAATCACACATTTTTCAATAAAATAATATTTTCCATCTCATCAATAACTTTTCCTTCTTTGTCAACCGCATATTCCCTATCACATCACTTCAAAAAATGCATTCTCTTATTTTAATGTGCACCAAACGGACTCTTAATTCGAGAAACGACAGAATGATTGAGAAAAAATTAGGTCACTCAATTTTTATTTTTTGAAATTTGAATTACAAAGTTGGGGGTAGACTAAAAGTTGAGAAATAATATTTTGGACTCGAATAATTAGTTTGTAAATTTATTTAGAAAAAAATAAAATAATGACTTATTTAATATAAAAATTTAAAAATTAGGAAGATTCGGTTCTTGGTCTTGAGAATCAAACCAAACTCGTCGGTTCACAATTCTGGTACTTGGTTTTAACTTAAGAAGAATCGAATCAAATTGTAGTGTTCAATTCGATTTAGGAGTTTTGTCGAGCCCTAACTTGTAGTAGAAGATCATTTCTCCTACAATAAATTTGATAAATAATCTCAATTCTTAATTCAAACTAATCTAATGATCTAGATCAATTTAAATATGCTATCTATTATGTATAAGATTTTTTACAAATAAAGAGCCATTTGAGATACTTTAATGCTATTTTACACTGTTATCATTTGTCTCCCTTTAAAATAAAACTCTTTAACTCTCATACTCATTTTTAATCACACATTCATACAATAAAATATTTTAGACGTAATTCTAAAATATTTTTCTATTTTAAAATACACGTTCTCCAAAAATTAACTATTTAAATCATCATTTTTGAAAGTAATGGTCATAATTGTCAAACCCAACCCGAACAATGTAGCAGGTTAGCAGGATAGTGGAACCAGTGACCTGGTGGTTCAATCGGCATGTCAATTTCTATCAAATATATTATTAATTATTTTTATTAAATAATAAGAATTTGACCTATTCTACCAACAATATAGCTTCATATTGCAAAAATAAAATCAACATTTAAAAGGTATTCATGCATAAAGAACGTGTTACTAAGTAAATTATTTCACACAATTATCATTTTATCAATCAAGAAGAGTTGAGCGCATCCATGCTATGATATCAGACATATATTCATCAATTTCTTTGCCTTGTACCCATTATCGAGTCTCGATCATACTAAAATCCTCATTTCCATTGTTTGTATTAATGTTATTTTCATTATCTGTGCCATCATTTCATGACCATCACTATTAAGATCATGATCCCATAAATGCAATTTATCTGTTTAAAATTCAACTTCACATAACATATATTTTAATAAAAATAAGAAATAGTAGTACCAGTCAAACAATTATGAAATAGTAGCATCAGTGAACGAAAGTGTCTCCAACTCATCATCTATCAAATTTGGTGGCTCCTTCTCTAAACACCCAATTTCTATAAATGTCAAACCTTTCAAGGTCGTTAGGATCGTAACATGGCAGTTAGTGAGTGACAATTGAAAATTTGTGAATTTAATATAATATAAAATTAAAATTAATTGTTGACTTTAAATTAAAATTTTAATTCAATCCAAACCACAGCGTCATCGTTAAACACAAACTTTCAAGGAACAAGTGCTTCACAAGATACGCGGATTTTTAATGGTTCACGAAACTTCAATTATTACATTTTTCCCTGAAGACCTTTTTGGATCGTATTTGAATGGAAAGTTGAGTTAAATAGGACAAGAATCAAATAATAAAATATACACCATGTGAGGAGCGCGCACAAAGTTTTTCACACACAAATGAATGGCATTGATTGCTATGTTTTGTAATTTCGACACGTAAGCACATATAATTGATCACTGGTGAATAGAGACAAATGCAAGTTGTTCACGATAATTTTTATAATATGTATTTATCACGTGACGTCTCCACATTTTACTATTATTATAAAAACGTCATTACTTTTTTTTTCATTTTCATCTTTATTTTCATCTTTCATTACGTAAAATATCATTTTCATCTATTTTCTCAATTAAAAATTGTGAAATCACGAATATCTTCTCTTTAAATAAAAAAATTAATTGCAACTATAATCCCAATTTTTTAAGAAAATCACAAATTTATTTGTTTGATCAAAGCCATCCCTATAACATAGAGCAATTGGGTTCACAGAACTATATGTTTCATTTGATCTCTGTTATTTTCAAAATACATTTTTTCTCTATTCTTTTCAGCAGCACATTTTTCAATAAAATAATATTAAACGTAAATCCAAAATTTTTCTTTATTTTTTAACCACATATTTTCCATCAATTTATTCTTTCAAAATCCAGAATATAAATGAGGCTTAAACATAATTTGATTTGTCATTCCTGCTTTTACTGTTGTCCGTCAACCCTAATTTGTTTAACTACTTTATTTTTGTTGGAAAAAATGAAATATTGGCTGACTTTGACATGAATTTTGAGTGGGACCCGTTTGGATATTTTGAAAATCAAAATTGATTTGTGTTCTCCTCCGTGAGTACATCGAAATCATATATTTACTTGCCAAAAATGACGCTCTGGTGAATGAGAAATTGAAACTCAAAATGTGCCACTTAAAAGGAGTTTATGTTGGTTAAATGAAATATTGGCTGACTTTGACATGAATTTTGAGTGGGACCCGTTTGGATATTTTGAAAATCAAAATTGATTTGTGTTCTCCTCCGTGAGTACATCGAAATCATATATTTACTTGCCAAAACCGACGCTCTAGTGAATGAGAAATTGAAACTCAAAGTGTGCCACTTAAAAGGAGTTTATGTTGGTGAAAAACTAAAAAATATATTTGTTCCACATAGGAAGTGGATGAAAACTAAAACCACTTTATAAAGAATTACACTTTAGAATGGTGTAACATATAGGCTCCCTCCACATGCACGTGCAGGGGGGGTGCAAATTATGGATCGAAATAGGTTTCGGATCTTGAACTTGTGTGTGGGCGCGACCTGCGTACACGAATGTTAGACTGAAATGAGCAAAATTGACCCCTAGGAGTCTCCACGTTTTGCTACACCTTTATTTTTCAACCGACTTTTCATTTTCTGAAACTGTTGAAACTTTTGTGATGATATTGTTCGGGCACTAACTAAGTTCGCCTAAGTAAAATCTGTGGTGCTCAAATTCTACTATTCTGCCATTGTATCCTGAGAAGCAGACTCTTAAATTATACATCAAGCACGTACGATGAGGGGGCGAATCTGTTTTAAGGAAATTGTGTGTAACACAGGTTTCGAGTTAAAATTTTATTTCTGTTTATTCTTTATTATTATTATTTTGCTTGTTATTTCTTACTGTAATTAACAAATAATTGGATTTGTTATATATATAATTTAATCTGTTATAATACGAAAAACGATATGTGTAAATACGATATTTAAGTATACTGCATATACAGTATTCAAACTGCAAATTCGGTATCAAGCTGTAAATCCGGTATCCATTCTGCATATACGGTATCTGAGATGTAAATCCGGCATCCATTCTGCATATACGATATCTAAGGTGTAAATCCGGTATTTAGTGTATAAAATCGGTATCTAAGTATTTGAAACACTTTTCTAACAAATTTAAAACAAATTCTTATTATAGATAAGTTGTTTCATTGGATTTATTGAAAACTAATATTTGTTTCATTTTAAAAAATGACAACCGATTCAACCAACATGGATGTAACATAAACTGCGGCTAATGAAAATCAGGCCGTGGGCTCTGCTATGGCCCAAGGGCCAAGTTCTGTTGTAGCTCACACTGTATCTAGATTGTCAAGTCATGTCGTAAGTCAAACAAGTGGCCATACCTTTACTGTTCCGGTTAATCATGGTGAAAAATCGGAGAAATTCAATGGCTTGAATTTCAAGAAGTGGCAGCAGAAAATGTTGTTTTATCTGAGATTCTTGACTGAAAGTGCTCCAAAACTCCAAGAGGGTGAGGGAGATGTTCAAGCTGTTAGTGCGCTTGATGCGTGGAAACATTCGTATTTTTTGTGCCGAAACTATAGCATGAACAGTTTATCAGATTCGCTATACAATGTATATAGTACTATGAAAACTGCTAAAGAGCTATGGGAGTCATTGGACCGAAAATATAAGATTGAGGATGTCGGGGCCAAGAAGTTCATTGTTGGCCGGTTCTTGAATTATAAGATGGTGGATTCCAAAACAATAATCGGTCAAGTGCGAGAACTCCAAGTGATTTTTCACGAACTTCATGCCGAATGGATGATTTTGGGTGAAACTTTCCAAGTA